TTTATCTCATTTCTTTTCCCTTATTAGTGACTTTGTAATAGTTTCGTAGACTTTTCAGACTTGTACTAGAATTGATAGATGCTCATGACTAGTGACACCCCGGTATCGGGCTGTGTTAGGTTTTATTTCTGCAAACTGTAATGTTCATTGCTTACTTTTGGATTATTTATTACGTTTTAGACTTAATTCTTAATGTTTAACTGCTTAAAACTGAAATGGAAAAGTGTCGGTTGTCCTTGTCTTCACGAGAGGCATCATCACGACCGGGTCCGATTTTAGAGTCGTGACAAAATATTCTTTAGTCCTAGTGAGATACAATTATATAATGTACTTTTCAAAAAAATAACACAATAATATGAGATAAATCATAGACTCATAGCATTATACTAAAATATTCAATGACAAAGGTAATAAAATTACATAAAGTAAATATTCTAATTGATAAGCCATAATAAAAATTAACATATTAATCTAAAAATACTATATAGGTCATGCTAAATAAGCATACCTAATATGTACTATTAATTAAATAACTAAGCATTAAAGAAGAAGATGAGGTAAATTATGAATTTTCATTATAAATCAATGTAAAACTAAAAAATAGATATTCAACACTATCGTCATTTATAGTGTTGAATTGAAGCATTAATATTGATTTGAACTTTGTTTGAGTTACTACATTTATGAGCTATAAAATTTATTTACCATTCAAGAATGTTAAGTCCAAACTTGAGATAATATGTTAAAAGATAAAACTGTGATTTTTTTTTAAGAAATATTTATAAATTACATTACAATAAATATTTATATACAACAACAACAACAATATACCCAGTATATATTTCCAACAGGTGGGGTCTGAGGAGGGTAGTCTGTACGTAGACCTTACCGTTCCAATAGACTCTCGGCTCGGAAAGAAGAAGAAGAAGAATAAGGAAAGAAAGAAAGGAGGAGAGAAGAAAAAGGTGGGAGATAAATGATAAGTAGTACCAAATAATAATAACAGAGAATACAATACCTGAAACAAACAAAATCACATAATAATGCAATTAAGATCTGAGAATACGAAGGGACATGCGTGTTACTAAGACTATCGGTGAGCAACTAAGAAACTCTCAACTATACCCTAATCCTCGACCTCCACACCCTCTTATCAAGGGTCATGTCCTCATTGAGTTGAAGCAGCGCCATGTCCTGCTTAATCACCTCTCCTCAACACTTCTTAGGCCTACCTTGACCTCTTCTCAAACTTGCCATGACCAACCTCTCACACATCCTAACGGGGAGTTTCAATACTTCTCTTCTTAACGTGTCTGAACGATCTCAACCTCGACTCTCGCATCTTGTCCTCCACGAAGGCTACTGTTATTTTATCTCGGATAGCTTCATTCCTAATCTTATCTCTCATGGTACACCCAAACATCCATCTCAACATTCTCATTGCTACTTTTATCTTCTGCACATGGGAGTTCTTAACTTGCCAACACTCAGCCCCATACAACATAGTCGGTTGAACCACTACTCTATGAAACTTACCCTTAAGTCT